GCCTCCTGCATGCTCCTCCTCTTGGGCCCCTGGGGCCCCCACCTGACATCTGAGCTCTGGCCTGAGAAGGAGAGATGAGATTCCCTCTTCTCTCTGGCTGGGCTGTGGAGGTTTGGGGGTTCAGAGATGAGAACCTTCGCCTCTGATCTGGCCTCTAAGAGATGTCCCCGCCCTCCACCGAGCCCCACAACTCCCCAATTCTGAAGCTTGGAATGCAACCACAGGCTTCATGGGCCGTGGCCTCAGTAGTGACTTGCCAGCCCCCGGCCTTGGCTCAGGGGTCAGGCTGCCTCTCCCGATCCACACAGATAGCACAAACACCACTCCCCTTTCCTGGCTGCTGGAAACGGGTCCCTGCAACCCCGTCCTCCACTGGGCCCCCAGCAAACTCTAGCAATAGCAGCTGCTGCCATGACAATTATGCAAAGCCTCTCTGCCCCAGTCTGCTGCAGCATTTACATCTGCCCTAATCAGAGGGGCCGCCTCTACCTACTCCTCTTTTCTCCTCTGGTTTGCTTCCTTCCTGGGTTCGGCTGGGGTCTGGACTGGCTGAGATAAGAGCCTAGCAGCCAGCGAGAGCTGGGCTGTGTTTGGAGATCATAGCTGATTCCAAGTTCTTGGGCAGGAGTCCAGAAGCATCAGGGGCTGAGGCCTGGGTTGTTCCTGAACTCTGGGAGTTGTTGGGGGCAGGAGGAACTTCTTGATCTCCTCTTCCTCCCTCCCCCCACCCCACAAAGCCTTTTCACATATTCCTCTCTCTTTTCCCTCTTGGGTCACCTTCCAGAACTCTGTGTCTGCTCTCAGGCTGAAATCTGGCATTATCTCAGGTTCCCTGTCCCCAGCACTGTCCCCGTGGAGCTGGTGGCTGACAAAGATGTAGTTTCCATCAGTCAATAAAACCTGAGAGGAGAGATGAGGATGAGCACCTCCTGGCTCTGTGGGTTTGGAGGCTGGGTTGGGCTGGTGGTTGAAAGTACTCTGGTTTCAATTCCTTTCAACCGGGAGAAGGGCAGGTGTGGGTACAGGTATTGGGAGGTCAGTGGTTGGTGACATGTTCTGGAAGATGGGGATCTAGGAGGAATTAAAGAGGGTGGTTTGAAGAGCTGAGACCCACAGCAGCACACGCTTGGTTAGAGGAGACTTAAACCCGGGCTTCCTGGCAGCAAATGACTCTGAACTGAACCCTAATTACAAGCATCTCTCAGGGGCGCCTGGCTGGCTCAGTCAGTAGAGCATGTGGCTCTTGATCTCGGGATCGTGAGTTCAAGCCACACATTGGGCCTAGAGCTAGCTTTTAAAAAAAGAAAGAAAGAAAGAACTCAAGATTTAAAAAGAAGAAAGAAAGCATCTCTCAAATTTGGCAAATTCCCCTTCCTTGTGGACATCCCCTGCATTCTCTCTGCTGGGCTACTGGGTACACTAGGCTAGTGTGTGACTGAGCCCTGTGGAGCACCGAGAAGACAGACCTTGGATTTGAGTTGACCTGGGTTCCAATCCCCAGGTGAGAGAGTCACTTAAACCTTCTCTTGCCTCAGGTTGCTAATTTGTAAAATAATAATCATTTATTCACCAAATATTTATTAACCGCGTATCATGTGCTAGCCCTAGGGATACAAAGATGGGCAAAGAAGACATTGTCTCTGATCTACAGAGGTGAGCACGGAGGGCAGACAATTAAGCAATTACAGTGTAGTGTTGTAGAACTAAAATCGATGGGATTGCAGAAGCATGCAGATGACAGGAGGACCTAACCCGGCCAACACCCAAAGAATGAGGCGGAGTTAGCCAGGCAAAAGGATAAAAATGTTTCAGGCAGATGGAACAGCATGTGCAATGACCTAGAGGTTAGGAGGCAAGCTCAGAGCCTTTGGGGAACTGAAATTAGTTCAGTTCAGCTGGGGAGGAGAGTGTGAGGCTGTGATGAGAGTAAGGATGTGGAGATAGGCCGGATCACAAAAACCCTTTGAAGCTATGATACAGATTTTGGACTTTATCCTAAGGATAACGGGGACCTCTGAAGGCTTGTAAACGGGAAAGTCATCACGAGGTTTGCATTTCAGAAGGATCGCTCTGGCTATAGACAGTGGATTCTAGAGAAACAGTCCTGGCGGGAGGAAGGGTGGTGAGGAGGCTTTTGCAGTAGTCCATTTGGTGGGTGATGCTGGCTTGGAAGTGTAGTGGTGGTAAGAGTTGGAGAATCAAGAGATTTGAGAGGTAGAATTGGCAGGACTTGGGATTGAAAGGCATGTGGGAGTTGAGGAAGAGGGAGCAGACGAGGTTGACTCCCAGGTTCTGGCTTGGGCAAAGCCTGAGTGGGGGGTGGCACTCACTGTCAAAAGGAACATCAAACCCATTAGCACACAGTGCCAGGCACACAGAAAGTACTTGGTGAAGATTAGCTACAACGATTACCCTAGATTCAATTTTAGACACGTAGTGCTGGACAAATAAATATCTAGTAGGAAATATAGGTCAAGTGAGAGGATCATGAGAAGATTCAATATGATAACATGCATAGGCATTTGGCATAGTGCCCTGAACACAATAGGCCCAGGAAACGTGAGTCCTCTCCCACTGAGTCTTCAGAGCAGAAAACACAACATGCCATTTGTAACTGACACCCTTCGGGGAAGAACTTCAACCAAGGTCAGCATCTGAAGGAAGAAGGTTAGATGGCACTCAGAAGAGCTTTCTTTCTTTCTTTTTTTTTTTTTTTTTTTAAGATTTTATTTATTTATTTTAGAGAAAGAGAGA